TACTACAAATTCACACCAGGACTTCCGCCAAGTCTTAACATTTGTTGCTGTAGCCAGCATCCCTTCTAAAGAGTTCAGGAAACATAAACACAAGCAAAAACAAGCTCACCCAAGGGACTTGCAAAAAAAATCAAAGAAAAAAGAGTTGGAAACGTGAAGAAATAAAAACCAGGACCACAACTATCCTGACAGAAGTGCAAAACACAACAAAGGAACAGCAAACATAAGAAAACGGCCACAAGACCACAGTTCCCCAAAACTAGAAACGAAAGGCCGTGATAGATGAAATGCTGGAATCCATGCATCAGAGTCCTACTTTGTCAAGAATTAATACCTACACAGAAGACTCAAACCAGCAGATGAATGAAGTGAGGGGATCAATGCAGGACCTAGAATAGAAAGAGAAGGAAATAGATGAACAGGTGAACAACGTGGATAACAAACGTAGAAAAACAGGGAAACTTCAGCTCCAGATTCCAATGAGCCAAACAGAAATGCTAGGATTCAAAGAGGCGATCGATCAAATGAAAAAACACAGTGGAAGGTATTAGCAAACAAAACCATGCTACACAGGAAAGAAAACAAGATTCTCAAGGAATGGACAAATTAAAGACAATAATCTATTCAGATATACAAAAGAAAAGTTGGTTAGTATGACCAAAACCCATGACATGTTCAAGAGACCAAACCCAAGAATCCTGAAGAAAGAAGAAAAAGTTGAGGTAAAATCTAAAGGCATAAGTAGTTTCTTCAATGAAAGTACAGTAGGAATTTTCTCAGTCCTATAAAAAGAAATGGACATACAAATACAAGAGGCATTTAGAGCCCCGAATAGGAAGAACATATCATAGTCAAGGTGTCAACCCTTCAAAACGAAGAAACTGTATGAAAACTGTAAGGAGAAATGCAACCCCACCTACAGAGGCAAACACACCCGAATAACATCAGGTCTATTATCAGCAGCACTAAAAGCTAGAAAGCTATGGAGATATGGCAAGCTGAAAGTGCACACCAGCCAATCAAGATGGCTGCGTCCAGCAAAGTCATCTCTTGACATTGAGGAAGAAATAAGGACATTTGCAAGCTAAAGTAGTTCATGATCACCATGCCAGCACTGTAGGAAATACTTAAGGAGATGGCCCAGCTGTCGAGTGTGTCCTGCTCTTCCAAAGGATCTAAGCTCATTACTCATCACACACAGCTAGCAGCTTACAGCTGCCTATAACTCTAGCTCCAGGGTGTCGGACACCCTCTTCTGGCCTCCACACATATGGTGTATACTCTCACACACATATATACATTGATAACTTTTTAGATCCTCAAAAGAGAAAATACTTTAAAAGTAGCACACTAAAAGAAAATCTTATTCATAAAAAAAAAAAGAATGACTTTTATGAACTGAATAGATTAACAAAGGAGAGCTAGGAAAGATATCATGTCCAACATAGTAAGCCAGGAATCCTCTAACATTAACAAGAGACAAAGAACAATAGTCCAACCAACCAGAACAACATCTAGTCACAGACACTAACAAACATCTCTCAAAATCAACCTTTGACACAAATGGCCTCAGTGCCCCATTTAAAGATTCAGACAATCTGAATGTATTAAAAAGCAAAACGCAACTATCTGCTGTCTCCAAGAAACATACTCACGGTGAGATCAAAATATCAGAGTCAACCTATGAAGCCAATGGGAGCTGTAAAGCAGCTTCCTCGGCTATTGTGATAGCTACTGAAGTTGGCCTCAACCCAAAATTTGTCCAGGGAAGAGATAAAGAAAGTCACTATATCATTATATCAGTGATTTCTCAACCTGTGAGTTGCAACCCACTTGGGAGTCACATATATCTGATATCCTACACATCAGATATTTACATTATGGTTCATAACAGTAGCAAAATTACAGTTATAAAGTAGTAACAAAATAATTTTATGGTTGGGGGTCACCACAACATGAGGAACTGTGTTAAAGGGATGAAGCGTTAGAAAGGTGGAGAATCACTGCACTCTATGTTAATAAAGCTAATAACCCATGAGAAGATATAAAACATAAAGACATATACAGATGTTTGTTAGGGCTTGTAATTTCATAAAACGAACACTAAAGGACATGAAAAGTCAGATGGGCCTGGTATACTAATAGAGAGCACTCCAATACTCTATTCTCATCTTTAGCTATATCTTCCAAACTAAAAATTAACAGAGAAATTTCATAGCTAAAGTACACTATAGATGAACTACATTTAACACATATCTGTAACATTCCCATCTAACAGTGAGAGTGGATTGGTGGTATCTTTGTGGTGTTGGAGATTGAACCCCATGACTTTGTGCATTCAAGGGAATCACTCTACTACTGAGCCATAGCTTCAGCCAATGGCTACTATTGATTGGTTGGTTGACTTGTGCGTCACTGTGGAAAGGACAATGAGTCAGGAGGAGGACTGCCTGAAGTGGAGGCCCTCCATTTGGCCAGACTCAGGTCTAAGACTTTTGATCTCTCCAGTCATTCCTACCTCTCATAGCTTAGACTTGTACTTCTTTTTTTTAAGATTTATCTATTTTTATTTTATATGGCTTGGTCCTTCGCCTGTTGTATCCAGAAGATACTGTTTCCTGGGAGTCATCCATCACCTCTGGCCCTTGCAACCTTCCCACCTTCTGCATAGGTTCCTGAACCCTAGGGAGAGGGCTTTGATGGAGACATCCCATTTAGGACTGAGTGCTCCAAAGTCTCTCACTCTGCACATTGTACATTTGTGGGTCTCTGTGTTAGTTTACGTTACTAACAAGAAGAAACTTCTCTGATGAAGGCTGAGCAAGATCTGTATGTATAGAAGAACGTTGTTAGGAGTCATTTAATTACAAGGTTCCTTTAGTAGAAGGATAGTATTTGTTTCTCCCCTAGGTCTGTGTTCAATTTAGTCTCATAGAAGAACGTTGTTAGGAGTCATTTAATTACAATGTTCCTTTAGTAGAACAATAGTACTTGTTTCTCCCCTAGGTCCATGTCCAATCTAGTCTCAGGTCCTCGGCACCAGAGCAGCGGCAGGTACAGGTTCCGTCCCATGAAATGGGCCTCAATTCCAATCAGATACTGGTTGGCCACTCCCACATTATTTGTGACACTATCACCCCAGTCTATCATGCAGGCAGGTCACCACAGTAGATGGAAAGGTTTGCAGATGGTCACCCCTCCACCCCTCCAACACACACTAATTCTTGTTTTCCCCCTCATATGAATTTGCAAAAGGAATCTGTGTAGGCTGCACCTGTTAAGTGTTCTCTCATCCGCATGTCTGTAGCCCTGACTGGCAGGCTCGGCCACATGGCAAATGCCAGAACTTCGTAGATATGCAGACATTACACACCAAATATACATGATACACACTCACAGCCACATCATATGCTCAGACGTCACATACCATGGTCGTGTGTCACAGAACACCCATCACATGCTTACCCACCACACAACACCCATTTACATGGCTTGCTGCACACCGGCACAGGACACTGCTCTCACACACTCACAATACACTGACAACCCACACTCTCTCACAGCCACCATCGTCCTTTGTATATTCACTCATATCCTCCTCCCTTCCTTCCCTCTCTCCTTAGGTTCCTCTCACCCACCCAGGACACGAAGGCAATCCCAGCCAATGGAGAGCCCCGCTAGCTGTGTGGGAGATGGAGGCCCCGGGAAAACGCTCTGTAAGGAGGAAGTGTAAACACTGATCCTGGCTGAAAGTGGCCTCGGTTAGCCACTCTAACCAGAAGCCCCGAGGCTGCGCCCAGACCTCTTGGCCTGTTTGCTAGCTGGAGGACATCCCACGCCAGTTGCTCTGAGCTAGTAGAGACCTGGAGGGAGATGGGCAGGGCAGAGCAGGGCAGGCTGCTGACACCCACACGTTTCCTCTTTCCTCTTCCTCTGCACCTGCTCTGAACTCACTCGCATTCAACCTCCGGGGCTGAGGAAAGTGTCCAGTTGTGTTTTGGAGAGCATGTGACAAATGTGGTGTGTGGGCGTGAGTGGGGAGTGGTGTGTGCAGTCAGCCAGCCACCAAGGAGCCTGAAATAGGGTGGGCACGAGGGGCTGGAATGCCTAGACTAGGGGACCTCTGAAGGAAAGCCTGGGAATCCTCTGATTAGTTACGGCTTTGCACAGTATTGGCCTCATCAGTGATTTCTGCTGTCCCCAAATGATCAGTGAGAACACGGGCTCAGGGAAGCTCGCCCAAGGCTAAAAGGTGTCAAACCTGGACAAACCCTCTGCCTTGAAACCAACGTTGTTTTCATGTGCTCGCTGGGCCTTGGCTTCTCTCTTCTCCCTATCAATGCCTCTGTGAGAGGGGAGCCCCTGTTTGGAGACCACTGTGGGAGAATGAGAGCCGAAGCATGGCTGGGGTGCTGGGCAAGCTGAGGCTCAGACCCCGGAAATGATCATTTGCATGGTGGGGTGCCAGAGGCTGTGTGTCTCACCTTCATTTATCCTCTAGATAAAGTTCAGAGAAGAAAATAGTGAATTGCTGAAAATCCATGGTTAATATCACTGCGAATAGCAGGTGTTCACAAGTATTCATCGGAGGAATTAACTGACGACTCATTAAGACTTCAAGCAGCCAAGCTTTGGTCCACAAAGCCTTTGTGGTTGGGGGAGGGTTGGTGAGGAGGTTGTGTTGTCCTGAAGTCAGAGAGACAATAAATGCCTTTAACTCGGAAGCCAATCAATGCACACAAATCCTGAGCCCCTCTGAGAAAGGTCCCGGAACCTGGTAGCATCTGGGAGTCCTGAGTTTCTTAGAGGCCCTTTGAACCCTAGCCACCCATCTTCATGTAACACATGTTTTCTCAACACTTGATTTCCGCTGTGGTTTGCTGCTGTTTTCTTTTTTAGACAAAGACTAGTTAGCAAACAAGACAGATTATCATTTCCTCATTTTTAAGCCCTTACCCCTCAGGGGGGCCAGAATCTCTTTCAAGCGCCCAACTGTAGAAGGCTCCCAGGTGATCACTGTGTCTCCGCCGCACTCCAGGGGCTCTTGGATAGGATCTGGCCTTGAAGGAACCATGTGCCTTTGGCTCTGGTTACTTTACTTCCTGCCAGGTGAGTGCTATGGGGAAACACTCCAGGCTAGCCAGCAGGTTTGAGGTAGGCAGAGGTCATCAATTGGCAGCCATCTCCAGCTCTACCGTTTCTGCACAGATTGAGAGATTGAGTTGCAGCCAGGGAGGATCAGGATGGGGACCCCTGAAGTGCTGGCCCCTCCTGACTCATGCAGCATTCTTCCAGACCTCCATCCAGGGCAACCCTTAGAGTCTTAAAGGTTGGAGGTGTCACGTATCCTAACTATTCACTTATATGTATGCGATCTAAAAGTGAGTGTCTCTAAGGTTTGTTCTTCTTATTTCTATTTTCTCTTTCTTTAGATCTTTCTTTTTCACTCTTGAACTGGCAACCCTCAAGTTCAAATGAAGACTCCCTAACCTAGCCCCTAAACTTCATATCTCGGTTTACGAATGCCTATCTGGCACCTCACTTGAATGATCACCAAGATCTGGAACTCAATGTGCCTAATGCCCTGCCTGAGATACTTCACAGGTCCACCGTATAAACCAGCTATTCCATCTATCCTGTCTCTAACATTAGAATGTCATTCGATGGCTCCCACTACTTACTTAAATATCCTCTCCTCTCTTCTACTCCAAATGTACTGCACTTCCCTGTATCTTCTTCCAGCCAAACAGGCTCTTCTTTGAACAAATGCTACAGATCCCTGCTACCACACCCTCTCTCAGGCTGTTCTTGATATGGGAACATCATTCCTCCCCATTTTCCAATCACTGGTTCTTCTCAAACCCACTTACTGTATCTCATTCTTGAGCACCTTCTGAATCCATTAACACTCACACCATATTTTGGCTCAGTGTGCTTATCTTACTTAGTTTGTCAATAATACCTCCTTTGCGGTGGTTCAGCTTCGTTCAAGATTTGATCGGATTAGGAAATGCTGAGGTGTTCGTGAGGCTTACCTCTGGGTATGATTGTGAGATGTTTCCAGAGAACATCACCTGGGGGAGAAGACCCACCTCGACTTCGGATTGTACAATGGGCTGAGATGACAGACAGAATCAAAACAGGGAAGAGAGAAAGCCTGCTGAGCGCTGGAATTCACCTTCCTTGCTGATCCCACCCTGAGATAAAATCAAGCAGCTTCATGCTTCTGCTACCACAGTATTGACACCATGATAGTCTAGACCAGTTCTCAACCCTCCTGATGCTGCGACCCTTTAGTACTGTTCTCACACTGTGTCCACCCCCCCCCAACCATAACATTATTTTCGTTGCTACTTCATAACTGTAATTTTGTTACTGATATGAATCACAATGTATATATCTGTGTTTTCTGATGCCCTTAGGTGGCCACTGTGAATGGGTCGTTCAACCCCCAAAGGGGTTAAAAACCACTTACTGGTCTAGACCCTCAAACTGTGGACCCAAATAGGCCTTTTCTTACTGAAGTTTCTTCTTGTTGGGTGTTTTGTTGCAACAATGAGAAAAAGTAACTAATAATTGGAAATTTATACCAGGAAGTGGGGTTCCTGCTGTGAGAAATCTGACCTTGGGCTTTATAGGCCTTCAGAATTAGTTTTCAGGAGGCATTTTGAAACACGGATGATGTAGAGAGGATCTAGAATGCTATAAGTGGAAGTTAATTGGGCCATACTGGTAAGAGCACATAAGAACAGAATGACACCCCCCCCCCAAAAAAAAAGGGGGCCACTGTAAAGACTGTGCTCACGGGAGAACAAGGACTCTATCAGAACTTGGAGTAGGAGTCATTGGTGTTATAACCTGGCAAAGAATCTGCTTGTGTTCTGTTTGGGCCTCCGTAAGCTGAATGATGCTGAGGTCACGTGAACTAAGTTGTTTTGACAGAAGTGCTGTAAATGTAGCATTCATGCCATGGCACAGTTACGGCTCACTGCGTGTGCCCAGAGTCACAGCGAGAAAGAACAGAATGTGTGGAAAACGCTCTGCCTGGCAGAGAAAAGGGCTTGAGAGATGCAAATAGATCAGACAAAATGGATTCAGACAAAGAACTATGGTTCTTTAAGAGATTAGTACAATTAGGGAGTGTCTTAGTTAGGGTTTCTGTGGCTGCAATGAAACACCATGACCAAAAGCAAGTTGGGGAGGAGAGGGCTTATTTGGCTTACACTTCCACATCACTGTCCATCACTGAAGGAAATCTGGGCAGGAATCTGGAGGCAAGAGCTGATGCAGAGGCCATGGAGGGCTGCTGCTTACTGGCGTGTTCTTCATGACTTGCTTAGCCTGCTTTTTTATAGAATCCAGGACCATCAGCCCAGGGACAGTCCCACCCACAATGGGCTGAGCCCTACCCCGTCAATCACTAATTAAGAAAATGCCCCCACGGGCTTGCCTGAAAGCCAATCTTTATTAAAGGGTCTTCTTCATTGAGACATAAAACTATCCAGCACAAGGGGAAACCTCGGACTTTGCAATGGAACAATAGGAAAGATGTCTTGAGCACAAAATTCCACCTCTCAAACTAGAGAGTGTAGTGATGCGAACCCACTTCACAAATTTTCATTTGAAAAAAGAGAGCTTAACTACAGAGACTCTTCAGGGCGTGATGCTAGAATACCGCCACCTTGGAAAGTCTTTGTCCTCAAAGACATACAGATCCTGTTCTAGTTGTGGTCCAAGGGGCCATGCTGCATCTCAAGCCTATAGCAGAACCCGGCCTGTCCACACACAGCTGCCTTTGCAGATGTGCAACATACAAGGGTAAAGGGGTCGTGAAGGCCAGCACCGAGGTTTCAAACAGCTTCCGAGGCTAGGCAAAGGGTGCAGGGTTGGATTGTCTGTACAAAAGACCCCAAGGTGTCACTGCATGAAGCTGTGAAGGTGAAGCAATGGAGACCCCAGGACATGGGAGGTGCCAGAAATGTGGAGAAATTACATCACTGAGGAAAGCTGAGGGACCAAGGGGAGCCCGCCCAGAGGGAGGTCACATGTGCCATAAGCAACAGAGCAGGAATATATAGATTTAACATGATTAGAACATACAAAATACTTTAATCAATAGTCTATTGTTAATCTTTTTTTTTTTTTTTTAAAGACAGGGTCTCCTGTATCCCAGGCTGACTTCTAATGAGCTCTGTAGATGAAGATGACCTTGAATTCCTGATCCTCTTGCAGAGGATCTCAAGAGCTAGAATTATAGGCATGGGCCACCATCCCTGGCTACATAGGCCTGGGGCTCAAGTTCAGGGTTCTGTGCGTGCTAGGCTAGCTCTGTAGTAACCAAGCCACATGCCCAGCCCTTGGTAATAACTTTGAAAGCTAGATGTATGATAGTATTTGTTAATACTGCCCTCAGGCCTGTAAATATTGGGGTAGGCCTGTCCCTAGAGCTCAGTACAACTATAGACATTGAGCCCTATGGGAGGGTCCCTCATAAACCAAGACAGTACCATAGGCTGTGGGCTTCAAACCTCTTTCCCTAGACCACCAATAAGAATACATATACATATTATGACTTAGCACGCGCATGTGAGACATGTACTCAAGAGAGAGAGAATATTCATTTATTCCTTTAAAAAATTTATTGTGTGCATGCCACAGCACATTGTGGGGATCAGAGGGTAACTTTGGGGGGTCACTTCGTACCTCCTTCCTACCGGTCTGCTACAGACTTTAAGGTAGCTGGCCTATGAACTTCCAGGCGATTCTCCTTTCTCCGCTTCCTATCTTACCATGGGAGTAAGGACATTACAGATACATGCCTGGGATTTTAGACATGTATACATGTTTGGGTTCCAAGGACAGAGCTTGGATTGTTGAGCCATCTCCCTGGACCTCCAGCAATTTCTTCTTGATTCATTAGCATGAGGATGAGTTTGGCCTTCATCACTTGGGTGGTAGCGTTATTTCCCAACATAGAAAACTCTTTTGTGAGTGAGCAGGTTTAAGAAGAGCTCTCTGCTGGCTGTTGTTCGATATCATCTTAAATATCCCATGGAGTCCAGGGGCCAGAGCCAGTCGGGAGCTCAGAGGAAATGACAAGATGAAAAACAAACATATGTTTAGTTAAAACCCAGTCTATCAGCACCTGTATTTAAAAGGCCCTAGAGCAAATGAGTTAGTGTGGAAAGAGAAGGAAGACACAGGAAGAGAAGGTCGGATACCCAGCTGTGTGCCAGCCCAGTGGAGGGGTGGATGTAGATGGACAAGTGAGAGAGGAGCCGTCACGGGAACAGCCACGGCAGAACAGCATCAGGGGGAGCACAGGAAGTGGTCCCAGGAGGGAGGACTCAGTTGAGTCAAATGCTGCCAAGGGGGCCAGTAAGATGGGGACAAACAAGTGGTCCACAGGGACAGCGACGGCAGTTGTGTCGACTCGGATGAGAGCAGTTTGGGTGGACTTTTAGAGACAAGATTTTGCTTGGATATGATCAAAGAGAAATTGGAGGAGCGGATAGGAATTTGATGAGACACTTGAGAGAGAGAACAGAGAGGAGCGGAGAAGAGGCAAACACCCTCCGAGGGGTTTTAAAAGCGCCGACATCAGGGCTTGTGTGTGAGCTGCTGCAGTGCTGACGAGAATATGAAGCCAGTGATGCTGCAGAAAGGGGGGGTCGGTGCAGACGGACATTCTGAAATGAGAGAAGGGTGGACTCGGGCTGCAGAGAGGGAGTGCCCTGCGAGAGGAAACAGGACCGGTTTCTGTTGCAGAACTAATGTCAGGCGACTATAGATGGAGATGGGATGCTGGGTGGGAAGTTCTCGTGCTTTTACATTTTTTTTTTATTACATTTGTTTGTTTATTTTGGGGCATGTGCCACAGCATGCATATGGAGTCAGAGGACAATTTGAAGGAGTAAGTTCTCTTTCTCTATCACGTGGGCACTGGAAATCAAAATCACCCGGATTGTCAGCACATGCCATCTCACCAGCTCTCTCATCCTTTTTAAAGGAACTTAGAATTTTACAGTCAGGGGCTGAGTAGGTAGGTAAAATGCTTTCCACAAAAACATGAGAACCTGAGTTCAGAGCCACCACATTAAAAAAGAAAGAAAGAAAGAAAGAAAGAAAGAGAGAAAGAAAGGAAGGAAGGAAAGAAAAGAAAAAGCCAGGTTCAGTGACACACACCTGTGAGCCCAGAGCTGGGGAGGCAGAGACAAACAGACACCCACGATTGCTGGTGAATGGGTGAGCTACAGGTCCAGGTAAAAAGAACGCCTGCCCCACAAACACACGCTCATAAGCTACAACTCTTTTGATAAACATACAAATGTCAAGCAGTTGTCTCCATCCTTTGGAGCATTCTGCTCCTGATTGGGTTGAATCCCACTCCCACCTGGACAATCTCTAGAGTGGCCTCGGCCCTCACAGCCTTACCTTCTTTCACCGTATTTTGCCCTAGGAAAAGGCTATCGGGCATCATTCACATCTCAGACATGTGTTTTCACACGACTCTATATCGACAATGACTTTTCAAACTACATCACTCCTTCTGCTATTACCAGCTATTTAGTCACCAAATTAGAGACTGAAAACTAGATGTCACTTAACTGCTGCTACAACATTAATATCACATCAGTGGGTCCTTTAGATACCTTCTCCCATCTCCCTGTTCTTCCCAAGAATCGCTTTTCAGTGGCCAAGGATTGCATCTGGAATGTTCCTTTAAAAAGCGGGCCCTACACTAGCCTAGACAGAGAGAATGGCCACACCCAAGGATAAGACTACCTCATAGGCACCAGCCTGGCCTATAGAGCAAGTTCCAGGACAGGCTCCAAAGCTACACAGAGAACCCCTGTCTTAAAAACAAAACAAAACAAAAAACATAGCTTCACTTTTCCATCTCAACATTTCCTGTGGGTGTTTTTTAGTCCCTCACCCTCTCCTAACCCCCATATCTCTCTCTAGTCCACTTTCCCCACCTTCCTACCCCTCAATGCTCCCCTCTACCAGAAATATCCTAACATAGAAGCCTCAAACCCATGGATATTCTAGTTTTTTTAAACTTTCATCTGACTAAATCATTGGAGCTATTCAGAATGTACAGTCTGTAGATAAACATCAGTAGGCTGGCAGATCTCCCTGCCATGTTCTTTCTCACATCCCCATCTTGATGCAGCTGGTTCTCGTCATCTGAAAGGCCCCTTTCTCCTCTGCTTTAGCCATCCAGAATCACCTGAACACGCACACTTTGCCCTATCAGTCCTTTTGATGGTTTAAATAAGAATGGCCCCCATAGGTTCATATATTTGAATGCTTGGTCCAGGTGGAACTGTTTGGGAAGGATTAGGAGGTGTGGCCTTGTTGAAGAGGTGTGCCACTGGGAGTGGGCTTTGGAATTTCAAAACCCCACACCATTCCAGCTTGTTCTCTCTCTCTGTCTCTGTCTCTCTGTGTGTCTCTCTCTCTCTCTCTCTCTCTCTCTCTCTCTCTCTCTCTCTCTCTCTCTCTCTC